GGGGGAGTACAAATGGAGTTGCCTGTCACAGGTGAAGAAATTTTGGTGCTGAGGGGGTGATAGTGATTCAATGTTTGTCACACGGGGGGGAGGGTGGAGCACATAGGGAGGTGGTTGTCACAGGTGTAGAAATGTTGGTGGCGGAGCTGAGGGTGCGGGTGGTGGTAAGGGGGGGTTTAATGCTTGTCACAGCAGTGAAATCATTGGTTGCAGAGCTTTGAGTGCACCTTCACGACTGTATAAGCCTGGAAAAATGGCTTTATACATTCGTGATGAGGGTGTGTTGTGTTTGCGAGAATATACTCCCATGGTAGTGCTCACACTTCCTTTCGGAAGTGGATGCCAGTGGATGCGAAATACTATGTCAATGCAACAGGCTTTCTGTGCCGAGAAGGATCACACACACAATCTTGACTGAAATTACTGATTGCATTTTTTGAGTTGAATTTGTTCTATATTTCACTTTGTGAATCAGGACATACCCACACTAGGGACTTTTTCCACTCCTCTTTGGACTTCATTGCGGTCAGGTGCATCCAGGCTGGGTCGGAAAAAGAGGTCATATACATCCAGGAAAATCCCTAGCGCGAGTATACTCTCAGAGGCTGTGACGGTGTGAACAACCGGAACAGGGGCGTGGTCCCAGTAGCGAACAGCGCAATTGGAACCTTTTTTTTTAAGTCCAGGTTGCTGTAGAGGCTAGATTCCGTTTTTTTCAAGTCCAGGTTGCTGTAGAGGCTAGATTTCGGCGAAAAAAAAAAGAAAAAAAAGAAGATTCCGGCGATTGGAATAAGGGCCTGCATCTGGATGTGATTTACGTGGAGATGCAGAGAGGCAGATGAATCACTATTTTGTGCATTGGTGGACAAGCTTGTCCAGATTCAGGGGTTGAATCCAGTTCTCTTTGCGAGTGGGGCAGGCCTGAATCTGGATGTGTTTTGCATAGAGATGCAGAGAGGCAGATCGATTACTAATTTCTAGACCGGTGGACAAACGTGTCCAGAGTTGAGGTGTTGAATCCTCTTTGCTAGTTGGGCAGGCCTGAATCTGGATGCGTTTTGCGTACAGATGCAGATCAATTGCTATTTCTGCACCTGCAGACAATCACGTCCAGATTCAGGGGTTAAAGCACCTGTACATGGGCCCCAGCCAAGTTGAGAGTCCAATCGAGCCTCTCTAGAATTGAGGAGGAGGCTTGCATGCCATCGATGAAATAAATAAATCAAGCGTGGGCGGCCTCTGTAAGGGGGCTGAGGCCGATGACTGGCATGTACTCAGTGTTCTACAATACAATATGCTTAAATCACCAATACTTTGCCCGGATATCGGCCGCGGCTAAAAATAGAGTAGAAGCGTTAAACTTTCTGGTAGGATGAATTTGGTCGCTTCTGTAGTGGCTCGTTCGTTCATCATTTTCATGGCTGCTAAGCGCCGTGACTTCCGGAGGTACTGGTGGTTTATGCCACCAGTACAGCAGCCGCACTGTTTCGCCAAACTCAACATGCCCCACCCTGCGAGCTGAATTTCTCCAACCGCCAGCGCGGCACTGTTCTTTTTGTAACTTTTTCGCTTTGTGGCGGTGGCGGAAGCCGTTTCCGTCCGGTTGCCCCGAGCCGGCGAGCCCCAGAAAGCCCCAAATGTTTTGGTGGCATTGACGAGTTTCTTTTCTGCAAGGTCTGGGGCTTTGTACTGGGGCCTGAACCCACTAGCGAAGTATTCTACGATGTGTGACGCAATTTTATGGTTTTTGGAAAATACAAAGTGATTTTTTATTTGCATGAATGGATCGTTTGCTGATTTAAAATGAATTGAAATAGCACATAAAAGTATGAAGAACAGCTGTGTACCCGAATTCGTGGGTTGAAGAAAAAAGAAAAAAGAAAAAAAGAAAAGAATTCGTGGGTTGGTACGATCTCCTTCACGTAAGTCTTCATAGTGATGTACCGTGCCAATAAAATGTGTCCACGAACACAGCCACGAGGATGAACAAGTAATGCCTATAGGGATGCATTCATCCCCATGTATCTCATGATACGTTTAGCAGGCCATCCGACAGACACGGAAGCGTTCCTGTCAGATCCACCACGATATCTGAATTTCACATTTCAAGTTTTATTTCTCAGACTCGGAGCCAAAAAAAAAAAAAAACGAAGTCTGGAAATCAACCCCCCCCTTTTAGAGCCCATAAAATCCAGACTTCCTGCCCACGCAAAGCCACGAGCTATCATGTCCAAGTTAATCCAACTTTTTTTTTTTTTTTTTTGACGCATCTCGTTGGACGGGAGGTGGGCATCTTTACAGTCCCGCTCGGAAACTACCAGGCCGTCGAGATCCGATTTATTCGACGGCCGTACTGTGTCACTCGAGGCCACACGTGATCGAAATCCTGAACGAAGTGGTAGAATACTTTGCTAATGGGTCCAGGCCCCTGGTGGTTGGAAGTTGAAACCTACCACTATTTTTGTTTATTTTTTATTTATTTTTTTAATAAAAAAACATCGGCAAAGGGTTTGCCGGCGGGGGGTGCTGGTAAGAGTAAACAACCCTTTCACACCCTATGCTTGTCATCTTCTTCTTCTGTTTTTTTTTTTTTTTTTTT